TTATAAGTGATAAGTTTAATGATAACTATAGCTTCAAAGAAAATTTTAACACTGTCATGAATTTGATACGTTTTGTGATAAATCTCACACGAAGATTCTCTTTCCAGTTTTGATTCAATATGTATCTAATCAGCGGCAAGCAAATGTGAGTAGACGAAATATAATTTTTCAATATTACTTGATGGTGACGTTGTCTTCGATCGTGACACTTTTAATATGTCCTCCCACTCCCCACCCCCTAAAAAAAATTTACAGAATCTTTCCTTTAATTCAGAGCGTTAGGTCAATACTATGTAATAGATTAGTGTCATTTAACAGAAGAAATACTGAAAATAGAGGATAAAACTTCTGACTTTCACTAAATAGTGAATGGCGATAATTAATTCATTCCCTATTCATTTAATAATTCTACTTTTAGTTATTACTTATCGCTCTTTTTATAACTTTCTCAATCTATTTTATCAACGTATCAAATCAAATAAGACAGTCAATGTCAATTATCTCCATTAAAAGAATGTAACAACTGGCACCATAACTATATTAGATGCAAAACGAGATGACTTACAATATGTTATTATTATTCTTGTTGTTTAATTCATATTACCAATATTAACTGCTTGTTTTCAAGAGCTGGGCAAGTCAGAAGTTTTGCAAGTCACAAATCAAGTCAAGTCAAGTCACTAAAAAAAACTGCACAGGTCAAGTCGAAGTCGGAAAATTTTTTCTCCCAAGTCAAGTCAAATCTGATTAAAATTAGGCAGAATATAATATTTACTAGCACCTTTTGGATGACAGAATTTTTATAGCCTCAGAAACTCTCTTTCATGATAGAAGAGTCTCATTTAAACGAAAATCTCTTACTAGAAATGACTTGACTTGAAAAAAATTTCTCAAGTTAAGTTAAGTCATACCCCCCGGGGTGATTTCAAGTCAAGGCAAGTCTGATTTCACTTGACTAGGCTTGGACTTGAGACATTTTTGACTTAACTTGTCCACCTCTATTATCTTCTGACTTTAACTGTAAAATTGAAAATCATATTTCAAAAAATTAAACAAGAGATTATTACATATACGCCTGACACAAACCTAAGCGCATAGACAAAAAAATATATCATTAAACGGTTACATAAAACATTGTCATCTTCTAAAAGTATCGTTGAATCGATCATCAAACAACAACAATAAATATCATCTAAACAACAGAATGTAATCATTCGTATTGATATTGCCAACTATGTGAATGCTACGAAAAAAATATTATACGACGTTGGAGAAATACATCAACAATTAAATAAACACCTATAAACAGTATTATAACAACAAATATTATGCTCGGTATAAAATTCATCAATCATGATTACTCGTCTTCATTGAACATTAGTTTTAAATAAAATGATTTTTTTTTTTAGAAAATCTTTATTATATCTCTGAATCTTCATCATTGTTCGACTAATAAGCAAAGTAAACTACGTTATTATTGATGTTTTTGTCATTTAAATCTAAAACTGTTTTGCCTATTTAAACTCTTATACTATTGAAAAATGATGTATGAAATTGTTCGAAAAATGGCTATTTGACAAAATATTTTTATTATTGGATACAGTTAATAATACAATTTTATATTCTCTGTTCTTCTCATGAAATTCAACATTATTCAATATAAGACATACTTTTTTTTGTCTCCAAATCACTATCCAACAACATCTCTAGTGTTCTTTTGTAATGTCTCTATATACATTGTACCTACACTATTATCATAAATCTAGCATATAACAAACAACACACAAAAGAGTGCAATGATAATGATCAAATTTGCTTTTTCTTTCTTCTCTTCTTTTTTTCTTTTTCTTTCCTCTGAGACCTCATCTTTGTCAGAAGAAGAAAAAGAAGAAAAAAAAAAAACCATTGTAAGGAACAAAATAGAAAGAAAAAATTCGATGACATATTTTTTTCTCAAAATGTAAGATCTACATTTTGAAAAGAAAAATTCTATACATAGACTAAATGTAGTGTATTGAATGTCAGTTGTTTTTTTTATCAAAACGTCAAAAACCAGATATAAAAAAGTATTTAAACTCATTTCCAACAGAACAAGATCGATGTAGTCATAACGTACACAATATTTTTTTGTTTAATAATAAAATATTTTTTTGCAATAATTATTTCATTTATTGTATCAAAAATAAAAAAAATAGAAATATGAAAATTGATTTAGTGTATAATAGTTTCCTTAATAAATTATTTTTTATTTTATTATTTATTATTTTATTGTGTCTATGTTCTAAAACAATAGCCCAAACAAGTATGTATTTATTCATTACCTCCATTCACTCCTATATCTTTATATTTATATATATATAATTATATTATTTAGAGGCATTTCTACGCTTCTATGGTTTTAATTCGAGGTACACAAGTTACTAGACTATACATATCTTTTATTTCATACATCAGTCATCGTACATGTTTTTCTACTATTTTGTCTGTAAAGACAGTCTGTTTATCATTTGACAAATTCCAGATAATATCATTGACTTTCATTTGTTCACTGACATTTTATATAATTAAGAAAAAAAAAAAAGAAAAAAGAACTGATTGATTGAAAACAACTTTGATTGTCTCTCTCTCTCTCTTTCTCTATTTAAAAAATAAAAATGTCCTAAAAATGAGTACACCATTTTCTCTTAGTTATTAATTGATGAAAATAAAAAATAAAAATAATAGAATAGTGACTAATAGAACGATATTATGTGTCTGTCATGGATAATTTAAGATAAATCTTATAAATAAGAATATTTTTTATTTCAAAAGAAGAAGAAGGAAAAAAAAAACAAACGAAAAAAACAACAACTGCATAATCATCGATCATGGAATATTCTGTTTAGATGATCTTTTTCAACACGCATATAATCTATTCTGAATAATTAAAAGAATTCTATCTAAATTGCCCTCGGTTATATTCAGATTATTATGTTGTTTCTTTCTGTTTTTTCTTTTTTTTTCTTTTTTTGTAGACGGGGGGTAAATTATCGAATTGCACACTTTTCTTAGATTATACATAGATCTTTGTATACTTGACACAGCAATATATATATATATATTTTCTTTTTGATAAATAATCTTTCGGCATGTTTTTTTACCTCTTCATCTTTGTTATTATTGACAATGATGAACAATGGCGAATAATTATGAAGAAAAAATAAGCAAAAAATAGTTGTTGATAGTTAATATTTCTAACGCATAATCCAATCACTTCATAATAAATTATATTTTCTATGTATATCCATCTCATCAAATAAACTCTATTTATACCCTAAGGAATTCTAGTGTCATTATTAAAAATGTAGTGAATGTATTTTTATTTTTATTTTTCTTCTTCTTCGTCTTAATGTATTCAGTTTTTATAGTTTATTATTTCAATGTAACAATAGTCAATTGATCTAGATATTATTATTTTGATTTGTATATTTATATGCTGAAAAAAAGATTTGAATCATCAATAAGAATATAAAAAAATATGTAATTATTATCAAACATATAAACATAATGTTTAAAAATAATTATTAATTTATTTATAGAAAAGTTTAATTTTTCAATTTTTCAATACTAAATTTCCATTTTATTTTTTATCATTGTAGATATGTTTTTTTAATAATGTTCTTATATTCATCAATTTTAGATAAAAAAAAAAATTTATTCAATTTTTTTTCTAGTCATGATCACGTATCGCATGTTAAATAAACTCTATTTCTATATATATATATATATATATATAATAATTTAAAAATATACTATGGAAATGAATAGTGATTTCGAACAAAATGGTTAACATTGTTCAGTTAAAAGAAGTCTCATTTTTAGAGAAATAAAAAGAAAAAACGTGAAAATAATAACAGGTTTTTGTCACATTCAAATAAATACAAAAAGAAAAGGAGTATATAATTGGTTCTAATTTTTATCGAATAAAATGATCGATGAACAATGATTCTAGAGTGATAAACTCGAGTGTATTTTGACATCAAATATCTAATGTAGAGTTCAATAATCTTAATAAAAAAAGAAAGAAAGAAAGAAAGAAAGAAAGAAGATTATCGAAACATTTAAAATCCGTACTTACTTAACATCCACTTATTCTGACAATGATTTATTTTCCTATCTCTTTAGACTGTCACATCGATTTAAATTTAAATCTAATGAGATAGATTTATATCAAGCCATTTTATTAATTTTATTTATCTCTGATTATTATTTTCGAAGAGAGAAAAAAAATAACAACTCTAAGTCAATAAATATTGACCGGTATGAAATTTAAAGTGAAAAAATCATATAAAAATATTCGTTGTTATTTACGCGGATAATGAAATTTAATGAATACAATTGTTTTTTTTGTTACTTAATATTTCGTGAACTTGAGCTATTGTCTAACTGAAGTATTACTTTACTATTACATTTTCTAAAAAGAACATATTTTATCCTATTTGACAAATATCTTTCAATTTTGACAATATCATCTCCAATAGCAAAACGTTTTCATATAGCAATTTTACGATGATCTTTCTAGAAAGCAAAAGAAAAAAAATAAAAGTCAAGGAATTTTTAGCTTAGGAAATTATTCGAATTTGAAAAAGAAAAGACTCGTTCATTGTTAAATTTAAAAAGATTGACATATTAGAAGATCTCCGTCATTCTCTAAAAGTAAAAGTAACAAAATTTTCTATTTTTAAAATACTTTTATGTAAAAAAATGTCAGTTACATTGATGGTACTCAAAACGATATTTCGATGATGTGCATGCAAAACATGAGTTTTTTTCTTTTTTTGTGAGACATACTATAAAATATTCTATGTTGAAAGTATTTAAAAATGATGACAATTTAAAAGATCCGAAACTTTTATTGTGTCTTTCCCTTTGTTCTTGTGATTCTACCATTAGAAAATTGTAATTGACACATGAAAATGTGTTAAATATAAATGTGTTTTGTGCTAGATTTGATTCGAAGAATGATTGATTGTTTGTGTTACTACTGTCGTTATGATCATCACGCAACATGTATTGACGTCATGAACATAAAAAAAGCAACATGAATAGAAAAATAAGATCAAGTGTTGTAAAAGCATGCACATTGATTGTTTATTAATGATAATAAATAATGACACAAAATGAGACAAAATGATATATGAATTATTAAACACTAATCGACCTGTCCACGTAACGTAGCAAAAAAAAACGTAAATCTGTAACATTTTTTGTAAAATTCAAAGCTTTTCAAGCACGTAACCTACAGACTCGTGGAATGTCTTATTTTGTAGTTTAAATATTTTCCTTTAATATGACAAGCAAGCAGAATCTAGCAACTATTTTTGAGAAGGTTCCAAAAGAAAAGACACTTTTTTTCCAAAAGTAGCCTTTATCTAAAAATACTGTGACTTTTAAATAAGACAGCTGCTAAACTTTGCTTGCTTTCTGTATTAAAGAAAAATGTTTAAACTACAAAATAAGACATTCTAAGAGTCTGTAGGTTACTTGTTTGAAAAACTTTGAATTTTACAAAATGTTACAGACTTACGGAAAAGTTGACTTTTATGTAGATAGGCCCTAATTTAAACATTAAACGCATAGAGATAATAGTCACTCTTAAGAGTCTACTGATTTGATCATTCAAAATTTAATATTAAACGTTCTTTTGACTATAAGAAATATAAGCAGGAATTACTTATATACATTGAACTTTTTAAAACATTGAAGGACAATGTCAGAATTTTATTATGAGAACAAATTATTTTTTTATTAAAAAAATTCAAGATAATTAATACTTTTTTAATCGAGTAGAGTGGAAAAACTAGACAATGAATAATAGTGGGAATTTTTTCCTTGCTAGACAAATATACTCATTTTTCTATCCAAATCTATGTTTTTGCTTTAAAGATTTGGAAGGCAAATGTAACGCAAGTGACACCACATGTTCATGGGTACCAAAATTGCCATGGAATTACTATACTACAGAAATTTTTACAGAAACACCGTATGATAATGCCGTCTATTTTGGTATCAATGAAGATGACAATGTGACATCAACATCGTACTTAGAGAGTCCCAAATTAACAGCATGTGATGCCATTGTTCTTCGATTTTATTCTCGTATAAGTAATGAAAATATTAGTTTAATATTAATGATGTATAGGAAAAAGGTGTGGAAAAAGGAGTGGTCATTAACATTTAACAAAGAAAATGAATGGAATTTTACTGAACTCACGTTTAACATATCAGAAAAAAGTCAAGATGTTCAGGTATTTCAAATGACTATCGTAATGTTTGAAAATTAATCCTTTTGTTTTAATAAACAACGTCTGAAATTTTTGATAATTTCATATTTTTATATTCTTTAAACTTTTATTTATTTCAGTTTCGTTTTGTACCCGAGAAATCGAACGATAATGCAAAAGGACGATACGCAGTGGATGTTATCAATGTGACCACATACACAAATTGTAAGCACTACAAGTCATTATTCGATATAATTAATTATGAAAAATTGTTTAAATTCTAGGTTTATCCGATACGAATACTCGTTTACTTGTCTATACATTTCGTCAGAAGAGACCGGGAAGTTCAACATCATATCATCCATTCATATTTGTCATATTTATTGGGACATTTTTAATTATTGTTGGATCAATCGCTGTATGCTTTTTATATCGTTTGGCATCGAAACGTTACAATCACTGGTCAAAACAGCGACGAATAGCAACAAATAGAAAAGTACATCGAACAAATAACAATGAAAAAACAGAAGAATCTGTTGCACTCGAAGGCGATAGCTCAATAAAAGCAATTGTTACAACTTAACGGCATTTTTTTTTTGTGTATTTATTTGTCTTATTTCTGTATTGTACAATTTTTTGTTTAATATAGTTTTCTCCATGTACAGAATTTACTTTTTGTTGATTAGCTTTTTTTCCTACAAAAAAGAAGAGATATATGTATTTTTTGCTATAACGGATTTACTTTCCAATAATTGATAAAAAATATATACTACTTAAGCAGTCTGATATATAGAGATTTACTTTCGATTAATTTGGAAAAGTTATACAATTAATAAGTCACTTGTCTAATGATTGTGCTTTCTTCAGAGAATCTGAGATAATACTCACAATGTTTCAGTGAATTTAAATAGTTATCGGGGTGAGGACGTTTGTTATAACGTACATAAAGATCGGATAAACTATACTTATGTCACGGTTATTCCAAAATGTCTCCTAACTTCGTTGAATCGACTCATAGTAAAAGTCATCTTGCTATCGATATTGTTTTAAACGTAAAAAAACAAAATGATTCAGCATAGTAGGAATATGTGTACACTGTAAAGCAACAACAACAATTTATACAGATTTATCGGTCGTTGTACATGATAATCACATACATTTACTAGATGAATCTTGTACAAAAATATTGGAAATTCGAAATCATTAAAACATAAAACTACTAAACAATCAGGTCCAACTGATCGTTTTTATTGATTTATCACAGAAAGAACAATCATTAGCAAGATACGGGATGATATGGGTACTGATATATTTATTCTGGTCATTTTTGGCTGCGTATGATCTTCACGTACGTCGACTAATAAACTGATTGTATAACTTTTCCATATTAATCGAAAGTAAATCCTTATATATCAGGCTGCTTAATTAGTATATATTTTTTATCTAATTCTTGAAAAGTAAATCCATTATAGCAAAAAATACATATATCTCTTCTTTTCTGTAGGAAAAAAACTAATCAACAGAAAGTAAATTCAGTAAACCATTTTTCTTATTTCTACTATATTCATTCTCTTATTCATTAGATTTGAATATCTCATGCAAGAATGTTCCTCATTTATTTCATGTGGGAATTTTTGACAAGAAAAGGCCTCAACCAGAGATCTTTTGTTTTGGTGTAAGATCAGCTTGTTGTTTAGTAATAGATTCAAGAGATTCTATCAAATATTCTACTAAGTTACTACATAAAATTTTTTTTAATCGAAATAAAACGAGAAAAATTACTAACTTTGGTATAAAATGAATATAATCACTTGAATTAACCACTAATGAATTGTCTCTATATAATTTGAAATTTAGTGTTGTGTAGGAAATATCAAGACTCTTCACCTTTACAGTAATCTTTAAGTCGAATATATATGGTACAAATTTAGACTAATCTGAAATTAGTCTGGCTTAAATTCAAATTTGAATTTGGCCTGGTCTAAATTAAAATGCCGACATATGTTGATTTGAATCTCGGCTGTAACATATACATTCATTGAATTTACCAGATAGAATGTAAATTGTAGGTATACACTGATGAATACACGTCATTGAAATTCAAATCTTTCTTCAGAAATGCTGTCGGGCTATCGAATGTATGCACAAGCGCATCGGCATACGTTTACTCACGCTGAAAATCTTTAGTGTACTTAAAATCAGGAATATATGCCCAATGATTATTTGAAAGCATTGAAGGGTAATAGTAGTAGTTTTTATGAGACAAATTAGTTTTTTATTAAAAAGTTTAGAATAATTAACATTTTTCAGGCAAGTAAGGGGAAAAGAAACGGGGAAAAAAATTTGCAATTAATGAGAAAAAGAACGCAATGAGAATTCTTTTTCTTGTTAGACGAACATATTCGTTTTTTTTTATATAGCAGAAACACTTCTTTCTGTCTTAATATTGCTAAGTATCATTTAGACTACGTTCAGAAGTGACAAAAAAATTATTTTGCAAAAATTTATTCTTTAGTCAATTTTTGCCTCAGGAAAGCCTTATGAAAAACTTCCATTCAGCTTTTTTTCCCGAAAAAACTTATGAGTGATACATCGTTTAATGCAACTTGAGGAGTTGATTCAGGGTATCGCATCTACTTTTATAAAAACAAAAAAGGCTTTGTCATTGAGAAAAATTGTATTTACCTTGAAAACTAGGGTTTTCGATATATATATATATATACTCCTGCATTACATGAAAAGAACTGCTACTTTCCTGTAATATTATAGATGAATATTTCTAATACATATTAAGCAAGATTAAATGAAGACAAGGATGGACGAACTTATTATACTGAACATTCCGATTCTGAAAAGTTTTTGGGGAGAGTAATATATTTGTTTCTCCTGAACTAAGACCTAAATTTAGCAAGTCTTTCATCCGTATGTGATCTTATATGTGTACACTGGTATCCAAAATGATTTTCACTATGGGATCATGTGTAGGAGGTAAAGTAAATTTATCAGTCTATTTTGATCCATTTCTTCTCAGAATGTTTTCTCGACGAACGAGAAGGACAGTTATAACTGAGCTAAACTACATCTCTGACATCGACGTTTCTGATCCACTAATTAATAGTAAAATATTTTTACTTAACTTTTTTATCATTATGAGGAGGGAGCAATGTTCCTTTTGTCCTCCTTGTTCTTTTCAAAAGGCATCACTAGAAGTCAATAAAATAACAAAAGTAACACCCTCATATGGTAAGTGTAGAAGGAAGGAAGATAGGTAATTGTAGAAGTTAATAGTTTGCGATCTTACATACTTTAAAGAACCTTAAAAACTATATGAACGGTCAGTTTTCATTGCTTGTTACTCGACAGTAACTTCTAAATAGATTGTTTTCACCATTTTATCAATCAAATTTATTTACTATTCACTATTCAGGTTCTGTGATAAAATCTCGCGTTGAATCATTTAGTATTAAAACCCTTTTCTTACACAGGAATATATATTATGGTAAAATATATTTTTGATGTACAATAAAACATTTTCGAAAATATGAAATCATGTATCATCAAGCACAAGAAAGAAATCCTGTTACATTAAAAATCGTTTAGTTGATGTCATGCCTCTGATATTTATTAAATTGTTTTAGACTTGAATCATAAGTTTGAATAAAAATAGAAGCGTGTAGTAATAACGATATATAATATTTGATGATGAGACAAAATTGGTGTATAAAAGTATTTTTAGGTTTCAATTAAAAATTATATGTTTATTTGATATTTATCTGGACCATTGTCTATTTAAGATTTATTGTGCTTCGTTATTTTAACATAAAGTTGAACGGTCTCTTCATTTGTTTCTATTGTCAAAATTTAGATAATTAACGAACAAAATCAACATTTCTGAAGGATTATTCACGAAAGGAGTTGAGTGAAAATATAGAATTCTATGATTTTTGATAAGTAACTTCAATCGGTACAATGACACGTATATCTTCAGATAACAATCCTTTTTCTTTCAATACAACAACAATATGATAGCCAACTTCACATTGTATCAAAGTAGTGGTGCCAACTGTTGTTTTTAAGTATGATGCGGGTGTATAATTATCAGGTAAATGTAATTGTTCGTTTCCACTCCATGATGTGTTTGCATCCGTATCAAATATCCACTCTTTTCCTTCTAGGCACTTTTCACCAATATCATTTGCCACAAGAAAATATTGCATTAGTTGTAAATTAATAGAGCGAATATGACGACGTTGTGGATTTTTATAGGCAACACGAATTGGAATTGAATCACCAGGATGAAAATAGCTATAAGTTAAGTTTACGGACACTTGTATATCATGCCTATTAACATTACTTCGAAATAAATCATTACGATCAATTACTGATGGTATACGCGGTCCTAACGAACTAATGATCAGCGGAATTTGATAACGTAAATCTGTTCCACGCCAATTTGATCCACTATTTCCCAATAATATTAATTCAAGGTAATAGACAATATGTGGATAATTTTGTTGATTTAATGAGGGTGGTAAATAATCGGGAATATCAACAGTAAATTTACCTGTTATCATTTGTTGAACTGAGTCATGGTTATTATCATTTCCATTGTTAATTATTGATGTGCAATTTTCAATTGTCGTATCTAAATTTGTTTCTTCTTCTTGTTGATTTGATTCTAGTACAACCATATATTGACGACGACAAACATTAACATCGTGTAAAGCATGACCATCACTATCGGCACCAGTATCAACTTCAGCCGAATAAACAGCATTACCAACTAATTCAATTAATAATTTTGTTCTATTTAATTTGTTAACACATGATATTGCTCGATTATTCGTATTCATCAGTGTATTTGGAATTTCTACAGTACCAATAATGCTACTACCACTAAAATAGAAACCATCCGGATGATCTGTGCTTATACGAACACAATCATTGATCACTGTAGATTGTAAATTAGATGTTATATCATTAATACTGGATGATAATATTTTATTTGAGTTAGTATTTCCCATTTTATATCAACTAAATGACAAAATATGACACAAATTTATATTATTCATAGTTTTTCAAAATTAAGCACTTTTAACATTATTTCTACAATACTTACATTATTTTAGATAAAGATGATATCTTTCAAGTTAAATCTGATAATGTGACAATGAAATTGATCGAATAATGTCTTGAATGGTAATGATACTTGACATGACAGTATCTCTAGTCAAAAGAAGAAATTATTAAATAAAAGTTGTAGATAATATAATCCATTCGCTTGATTACATATTCTTCGAAAATATTTTCTATCGTCATTTTTAGCATTGCATTTTTTTTGTTCTTCTTTTATTTTTTTTTTCTTTCTATCTTTTTTAACTACTTAGAAACAAGTTTGTTGTCCGTATGATCTCTATCACTGACAGAGAAGAATAATAGGCCATAATAAAGTCTATTTAGACAAAAAAAAAAATTACTTATTCACACAGTCCGCACAAATATCTGCTTTTTTCTCAAAATTACTATTTTTCCTATTCTATTATCTCTTGTTTTCGGCAAGTAGTATGTATAAAAATATATTATCTTTATTTCTTCCCACAACTAGAATAAAATAGAAACTCAAATAGTCTGGTGTATTTCGTTAAAAGGACTTGCATACTATAATCCATATCTAACTAAATTGTTTAAAAAAATAGCGTGGAGTAGTCAGTATTACAAAAGAATTTAGAGGTTAATAATACATTTACATTTTTAGTAGTAATAAAAATGAAATTATCATCTGTTCGAATGATTAGGTTATTCTCTTCTACTAAAACATGAACGATTGGATTAAGACATAATAGTCGATACAACCGACGAGATTTTAACGAATTATGTCAGTTACAGTCTACGAAGTTATCAAGTGAAATGAACAAATTTAAAGGCGATTCTCTTTCTCTCTTTAAAGTCAATTTTGTTCTACTTATTGCCTTTATAAGCCATCGATCTTATTTATAAAAAAGCAATGTACAAAAAACTATTTCATCAACTATAAATGGCAATCAATTTAATTATTCCAGCTCAGCCAATTGTTCGAGACTGTTAAACTATAAATTAAATACATAAGTTCTTATTTATATCTATAGTATACTGGGTGTAAGTGAAGTTGCTAAAAATCTATTTTCTTCTATGTACTTCTTTTTTCAGTCAAAAATAGAAATCTGTCATCAAGCTATGCGCCATCCGGTTCCCAGCATGAGCGTGGATCGAGAAGAAAGAAAAACAATAAAAAGTTTATATTCTTTTGGCAGTTTCAAAAAACACAAATTTTACACAGAAAAACTATAGAAAAACTTGACATTTCGATCTTCTAAACTGCAAAGTAACATCGTCAAAAGAAAAAAGTTAGCTTAGGTTCGGACTCTGGAACAATTTTTCTATATACACTGAAGAGAAATTTTTTATATGGGTTTTCTGTCCGTTTACGAGGAAGAACTAAAAAGTTTCGTATCTTTATTTTCTTTTTTTGCGTTTTTAATTCCTCTCAGGCGAATTACAATGAACTTTTTTTAACAAATGCATGCTGAAAATATGTTGAAAAAAATCCTTTTTCCGGTGAAAAACGCTGTTATTACTACACCGATCTCAAAATATAATGGCTGCAGTTGTTTTTTGAATAACTTCTGGCCAGAAGCAGCTTTGAGAGCTGTGATTCTCCCCATTCGATAGGCAAATCTTTGAAGAATCTTCGCATACAAGATTAAGTTTAAATATTTTTTTCAAAGTAAGCTTTTTAGATGATTCTTGGAAACTGGATCGCAGGGTGAAAAGTTAGTGTGAAAATTTGTTCCACGTCTCATCGGTAGATAGATAGAATCTCGTAGACATTGCAGGACTGGTTTACTCACGTCAAATCACCTGAAAAACA